AGCAGAAAATAGAGACTTAGGTCTCCCCTGATGTTGCCTCCATACTCTACAGAATAGAAGAAAGTCAGTGATGAGATCAGAGGTGGCCTAATCTCTGCCAGTTTATTTCACATTAGAAAACGTGGCCACCTTATACAAAAGCTAGTATGGTGTGGTGATCAGAGATTTGGGCTAGGAGGACTAGGGAGTTATGTCTTCAGATCCCTATTCAGCCAAGAAGTTCAATAGGTGACAATTGCCCAATGTCTTCCAATGTAACCTATCTCACACATTTGTCATGAGGACAACATGGCGGACAGAATAAATGTATATGCTCTTCAGAGATCCTTGGAGGAAGAATGGGACACTTTGTAACAGATGGATGTTATTTGTTTATTTATTTATTTCTTCATATTTATAGCCTGTCCTTCCCAGAAGAGGGCTCAGGGCAGGTAACAACATTATTTTTTAAAAAAATTGTTAATAAAATAACATTAAAAATTAAAACATCTTCATGTGAATCAACCATAAGCAAGATACCAGGCAGAAGTAGACACACTCTTATGCCTTTTTCTTCCAGTAAGAGATGGGTGTAGGAACACATTCAGTTCCTCCTAGCATGGAATACATAGCTCTAATTGACATTTTCCAGCAGCCACAAGTCCCCCAAGATATGTAAAGCCAGGCAACCTTCCAGCAGAGACCACTTTTTTCATCATTACTTCTGAGCCTTCAGTATGGAGGAGGCATAATTATGAATGATAACAATGTCCACTGATGCATGTTTAATGATTGTATATGCTGTATTGCAAGCTCACAAAATGGTATTAACACATAGCCCTCTATGTGTATGAAACACAGGTGCTGCCTCAGCCATCTGTTCTTCAGAACACAGTCATGTGTGTGTCAGGCAGGCATAAGGCTTGTCATTACAAGAGATGTATGAGGTGAAGGTAGTTTCAAACAGAGAAGATGGTTGGGATTCCCAATTTGAGACCTCTCATTCTTGGTTGCTTTTCATTCTTTTTTGTGTGCATGTATGTGTATGTTTGTGTGTCTCTTTCTTTTTGCTCTATCCTTTGCACATTTGCTATACGTGTACACACACGTAACAGGGCAGTAACTCCCATTTGTTTATATAAATATATTGAAAGCATTATATATATATGGCTCATTTTGGCAGGATGAATCAAATTGTGTGCTGCGGTGGGAGAAGTTTGCTTCAGCAGATGTAAGACAAAAGAAGGAAGGAGAAAATAAGTGGAGGCCAAGAAAAGTTCATTTTAAAAGTTTCTTATTGCTGTCTAATTGGCACATCTCCAAATGCAGGGTGCGATTCACAGCCATATATATCTGTCTCTCATGTTGTTATATGCAACCATCCACCTGCAACAATGCTCTTCACCCAGTGTAAGGGTGTTATTCTTCATCTGTAGCATACCTCATTTCTCCTTTTTGCTTGTTTTTTCCTGTCCATACTTTGTCACCTTTCTGTTTCTGAGTCAATCTTTTGGAAGTGAGCAACTGTCTGTGATTTCATCACCCAGGTAAGTAAAATGCAACCTCAGTGTCACCAAAGATTTGTAATGGGTTTGGTCCTTGGTAAGAACCTCTGCTTTGAAGCAATGCTTATTTTATTCCTTTTAAACCTATTCCTTTTATATATAATTTAAAAATTGGGGAGTTGGATAAATATATTCTTTAGAACATTCCCCCCCTTTCTCCTTTAATCCTAGAAATCTCAAAGTTCCAAGCCTCCCAGAATGTATTCAGTCCTTGTAAGGAATTTGGTGTATTCGATGCAGGGGTCCCATTTTCTTTTTGGTCAATTTAGAATATATTCAATCCTCATAAGGTTTTTGGGGTGTGTGGAACAGGCGTCTCATTTTCTTTTAGTCAGTTTAGAAAGTCAGATTAATCTGTGTACCTGGGGAAGAATAAGTGAATTATCTGATTGTGCTGCTTTTGTGATCAGCAACCAATTAACTACTTTTATAGCTAGATACATCAAATGTAGATCCATTAAAATTATTTTAATACTCCATCAACTATTTTTCAGAATGTATGTTTGTTATGCTACCCTATTTCTAGAATTTGAAAATAATATATTGCATATTTGGGTAGAATATTTAAATTCACTCCTACAAGAGAAAGTGTGCTGTTTTCCTGGTGAGCATTCTGCCATCAACTCAGTGAAAGAAGTGGCACAGTTGAGCAATTCTGTAAAAAATCTTGGAGCATGGTGTTTCCATTATGATCAACACTTTTACACCCTTGACATTTTCATGTGATCATTATTCACACATATGTATCAAATTACTGACTTCAAAATGGACTATAGGTCTGAGACTTTGTAGAAATCTAGATATTTTAAATTGTTAGGGTAAATTGTGTGCTCTAGCATCACTCTCAATAAACTGTCATATGATTATCTTCTACCTTATATGTTTCTTATTTTGGCTCAATAAACATATACCTATTCATGGGGTACTGAAAAAAAAAATCTTAAGTTTTACTGAAAGATTTCTGTTGCCGGGTTTTAATCAACTTGCTTTTTACAGTGGTTTCTTACACTCATACCATATTGGATTGATGTTTTTTCAGTGTTTTTAAATATTCATATATTTTCAAATATCTTGTTAATCAGTTGCACAGACATTAATGAGCTCCACCACCCCCTCCCAAGTTTAGTTGCACTTTCAGGTCAGTCTTGATTGATCTAATAAAAGTGCCAGCTAACCGAATTTAAAGTGAATGCTGGGTTGTTTTGTTTGCTTTTCAGTCAGTGGGGTGGCCATTATATGTTGTTACCTTTTGAGCACAGTATGTGAATATGCTTCTTTTGTATTATTATTGTTATTACTATTACTATTATTGTTGTTATTGTTGTTGTTGTTGTTGTTATTGTTGTTATTATTATTAATGGAGTTCATGCTAAGTATTTCCTAGAGAATTAGGTGCTCCTTTTCTTCAACACAAGCATGGTTGTTAACTCACACACCACAAAAAATGTCTATGTCACCACTCACATTAATCTGTCTATCATTTTTTAGAATCCCATTTTTCTCCTCTATTTTATTCTCACAGCAAACCTTGGGGGGAAAATTAGGATAATCGGTAGTGACTGGTCCAAGGTCTTCCAGTGAACTTCATGGCTGAGGTGAGATTCCCACTAGCCATTATGCCAGAATGAGTAAATATCATTCATTCTCATTTAGTTCCTGTAATTTCTTTTCTAACTTTAAACAATTGATTCTTTCCAATCTTGGACATCTCAGTTGATTCCAATATCTGTTGCCTTGTGTTATTCCTTTTCTTGTTTTCTCTCAATGTATGTTTTCCTCTGTAATCCTTTTCACCATTTTGCTCTTGCTCCCTTTCCCCCTTCCTTATTCTTCCATATGTACTAGTAGCCATTTTATACCATGTTGTGGTTATGTGTTGCTCTTGATCACAGTTATTGGACTTCGGATCAGTCTGTTACTCTATCGAGAACTTCCAGACAAATCTGGGCATTGGTTAGGGCCATAAGATGGTCAAAGAGTCTGCCACCCTGCCATATTCACTTTCCACAGAACACCCAAGAAGCAGTTATATGTCTGTACCCTTCACACTGTAGAAACTGGGGGCCTGCTGATTATGCCATTTCCAAAATAAGAGCAGCTCATGCTGTCTCATGAGCATGGACAAAGAGGCCAAAGTACCAAGAATTTGGAATAATAAAATCTTCCTCCCCAACCCAGAGGTGGGGAAGAAGTCTAGCTTCAGAGTGGCATATCTATATACTAATAGTAAAGAGTGACCCCCATCTGTGGATACCTAAATCTGTGTATCAGGGCCACACTGATGAGAAAAAGATTTTCCTGCAAACTTGGGGGATTCCTCCAGTTTGCAATATTAAGTCAAAACTAAAATATATAGAGAGGGGTTAAATTCCCTCTAAATTCAGTTGTGTTGTCTGTTCCTGCACACACAATGCACTTAGGGAGCTGCTTCAGCTCAGCAACCTGTTCAAATCTGGGCACAGTGGAGGATGATGTCAGCAATGGCTGTGAACCCAGCCACAGCAGAGGAGGATGCTGGCTCCTGTTCTGGGCCCTGTGGCCCAGTCCTGTGGCCCAGGTGTGGCAAATGAGGATGCCTGCAGCAAGGCTCAGTGATAGGTGGTGGGGACTGGAGGTGGTGGTGGGGCCAGGCTCAACAATGGGAGGTATATGGGCTTCTCCAGCATGAGTCTTGTATTCATAGATTATTCTCAAAAAGGGTGTGAAGAAGGCATACCATGCCAGGAGGGCGATGTTGTAATCTGTACAAGGAGTACAAAGGCTTTGAATAACAATAAAACCGTGCACAAGATGAATCATTTTCCAGATATGTATATGTACTCCTGCATATTTGTAAAACTCCATGCAGAGACAGTATCGAAAGCAATTGTTGATGCAATAGCATGAACATTGGTTTTGCATTTTTTATTTGTTCATCCATGGGTACATGTGCATTCATAAAATGCCACAGAAAATATTAATTACTCTTTTGTAGAAAGACAGACAGTGACAGATGAGTGGGTGGGTGGATGTATGGATAGATGGACGGACAGACAGATGGATGGAGAAAATATTGGAATCATGAAATCTATAGGAAACTGCAAAGTGCTCTGTACAGAAGCAGAACAGTTGGGATTCCTAAAGTGTTCCACTCCAGAAACAAGAGGAGCAATTTGGAACTCCAACATTTGTGGAGGAATCTGGGTTGGGAAAACACTGAAACCTAATTACTTTGTGCTTACACAGTTCTTCAATCACCTTTCAGTGTAGGACTAATTTATATGATTTTCCCCTTCAAAAAATGATGAGACATTACGAGAACTTGGTTTTTTTTCATAAACATACAATTGGTCCTACTTCTATGTAGTATTTGAGTCTGAATGTTGCTTGATTTTGAACATTAAATATGGACAGAATTCATAATATCTTCACTTTGAATATTCTTTTCAGTTATGAATCATCAGTAAGTTATCCAAAATGCAACTGGCAAACCAGTCACATGTGACAGAATTCATTCTGGTGGGGTTTCCAGGAAGTCTAAAACTACAGCACTCTCTTTTCACAGTTTTTCTGGTTGCCTACACCCTGACAGTAATGGAGAATTTGATTGTCATTGTACTAATCTGTGTGAATATCAAGCTTCATAAACCTATGTATATATTCTTGGGAAATCTTTCTTTCCTGGAGATCTGGTATGTCTCAGTCACTGTCCCCAAGATGCTTTCAGGCTTTGCTACACAGAAGATGGACATTTCCTTCGCAGGCTGCATGGCCCAGCTCTACTTCTTTCTGGCTCTGGCATGCACAGAGTGTGCCCTCCTAACAGTTATGGCCTATGACCGTTATGTTGCCATCTGTAGCCCTTTGCGTTATCCCACCATAATGAGTCAAGAATTCTGTATCCGTTTAGCAGCTGGTTCATGGCTGAGTGGTTTTTTGGTAGCCACAGGAAAGACCTTCTTCATCTCACGCTTGAGTTACTGTGGACCCAATATTGTCAACCACTTCTTCTGTGATGTCTCCCCACTTCTCAATCTAGCTTGTACTGCTTTGTCATTGGCTGAACTCATTGACTTCCTGCTGGCCTTGCTCATTATCATTGGCCCACTCATTGTGACAATCACCTCTTATATCTGCATTATCTCTACTGTCTTGCGCATTCCTTCAGCCAAAGGGAAGCAAAAGGCATTTTCTACCTGTGCCTCACATCTTTTTGTAGTCACCGTTTACTTTGCTGCCACCATTTTCATCTATGTTCGACCAAGGGCTCTCACCAATGTTAACGCCAACAAGCTTGTGTCTGTTGTCTATACAGTTGTAACACCACTTCTTAACCCAGTCATATATTGCATGAGGAATCAAGAGTTCAAGGATGCCTGGAGAAAAATGTTTAATGGGCCTTCTTCAAGACAAATAGACTAATGTTGTAAGAGCTTTATTAGATCTAGGCACCAATGCAGAAAAGGAGCTATTTTCCGGATTCTGTAGAAATTTGCAGTAACAGGCAATGGGAAACTATCTCTGAATGTATCTTGCTTTGAAAACCCTTTGGGTCACCATAGGTCAATTGTGAATTGATGGGACAAAAGAAAAGAAAAAGAAAATTTGAGTGGCAGTATTATGCAAATCTAGGTTTCTCAGGTAGTTTGAAAGTACTACATACTGCTTACTTGTGATCTGTATAAAATACTATTCCTTGCTTTGTGCAACATAGCTTACATGTATTTAGAGAGTAAGATGGGTGTTATTAATTTAATTGTTTTCTTGATTGAGCCATAGTTATGGTACTATAGCCAGTTCACTTTCATAAATTATATGCCCCTTCCTTTCCCCTGGTGTTCAGGTTACTGAAAAATACTGCAAATGGCCTACAGTTTTGTTATTAAATTTGAAAATAGCAATATTTTGAAATCCTAATACAAATGACTATTTTATGACCCCATCATATAGAGTTGTGTTTAAGTACCAACTGCATGTGACCCTGGGAGTTCCATGTCTGAAGCGTCTAAGAGTCTTTTCTTTTCAAATCTGGTGTGTAGGCCCCCAATTTGGATATTTATCAAAATAAAGGGGGAATGGAGATCAGCCTTTTCTGTGGACCATTTCTCTTGTCTGAAATGGTCCTGTGTAATTGATATTTGCCTTGTGGGCCAGACACACAGGCATACTATGTGTTTGGCCACATCAGTTTTGTGTGGCTCTTTTCAGGTTGGGAAAATGGAGCTGGAGGGGAATTTCAACCCTGTCCTCTCCAATTGCTAGCATTTTAAGATCATCATATCAGTTTGTTTTTATGTTCCCCTTGTTGCAGCTCACTCACTTTTGATGAATCACCTATGTTTTCTTTTGCTAGTTAGACTAACCCTTGTTTGAAGACAGATTCCTTATTTCATAGCACTGCAGCACTATCAGATTAAAGAATTATATTCTTGATCTAGAGCCAAATTGCTCATAATTTAGAGTCTTCCACGGGCAGTCTTTACTTCCCCATTGTTTCAAATGTGCTTTTGTTCTTGCAGGAGATGTGAAAGGAATCTCTTTGAGATGTGTAGAAATTCAAAATCAGTTGTTGGGGGAAATCCAACTGTGGAGCAGTGAAACAGAAGGAAGGGAGAATTGAAGTGCCTCTTCCCCTCTGATTCTATGCTCCCAACTACTCTCTCCTAGAGCATCTTTTCAAACAGACTCCACCAATAACTGAGTGCCACTTGGCTATTTTATTTATTTATTTACTTATTTTACATTTCTATACCACCCATAACCAAAGCTCTCCAGGTGGTTTACAACAATACAAAACAGTAGAACACAATAAAGAGGAATTAATATAAAACATTAAAAACAGTAAAAAAAAGAGTAAAAACAACAAGAACAGTTAGCACCACCTCGCTAATCATGTCGCAGCCCTGAATGTCTGAAAAGATCTTTGAAGGTCTCTGTGAAGAGAGTCATCTTGACCTGGCACCTGAAGGATGGCAAGTCTGGTGCCAGGCAGGCCCCACTTGGGAGCCTGATCCAAAGGCAGGGGACCGCCACCAAAAAACCCTCCCCCTAGTTGTCACCCTTTGAGCCTCTCAAGGAGTCGGCACCCGGAGGAAGGCCCCAGAGGTTGAGTACAGTTTCTGGGTAGATCGAAGCAGGGGAGGTGCTCTGACAGGTATTGTGGTCTCAAGCAATGCTCCCTCTAAGCTGTGGAGTCTTGTGAGCAAA